CCCAGAGCCGGCCCCATCCCGGGGGCAAGAGGGGCCCAGAGCCGGCCCCATCTGGGGGGAAGAGAGGCCTAGAAAATAGGGATTTTCAATTCACGTTTCATTGAGTCTCTCTTGGCAGAAGAGGGGTTTTTAGGAGGGGCTGGTGGTTGCATCCAGGGGGCCATCAGCACAGAGACAACAGTGGCTGGAAGGTGAGGCTAGGGTGAGGCAGGTGAGACTAGGGACACTGCCTGAGCACCGGGGAAGGGGTGGGGGGGTCAGTGCTGAGGAGGGTGGGGCAGAGCTTTGAGACGGTGGCAAGAATCTGTCGCCACAATGGACGGGGAGTCGGGGAGGGGTCCTGGGACTTGGGCAGAGAGGCAGAGAGGGGCCCCTCCTGGAGTGAGCGACGAAGAGGCCACCCCATCCCAGCGTGGGGCAGGACGGATTCGAGCGAAGGCCCCGGCACCCGAGCTGTGCCAGGGCCTGCTAGTGGCCCCTTTGCACATTGCTGCTGGGCTAGAAAATGAGACAGAAGCTTCTTCCCCCCGCGCCCCCCAGCCCCACGTCTCTGCCCCTCCCTGGGAGCACCAGAATCCCAGGTTGCCATCCCTAGAGTAGCAGCAACATCACTGCCTGGATTAGCAACATGTTGATGCACGTCCCGGACGCCGTGTGTGTTTTAATCCAAATACACATTCGCACACAATCTCTCTCTCACACACACACAGCTTCCTGGCTCCAGCAGTCACAGCAAGGAGGCTGCCAGCCTGGGGGAGGACTGGAGACGGCACAGGCACGGTCTGGTGCCTTCGCAAACCCGACTGCAGAAAGTAGGGCAGTGGGAGGCAGCGGTCCCCATGCCAGCCACTCTCACTCCCAGTGCCAATGTCAAACTGCCGGGCATAACAGGCAGGAGAACTCTCTTCCAGCTCATGTTCCTGGGGGTTATGATGTGGCAGAGATGGTTAGAAACAAAGCTCAGGTTGGCATCCATCTCGCTTCTGACACAGAGATCGCCGCAGCAACCAGGACATCCCACTACCCCCACCATCACCCCAGGAATGGTCAATGTAAAGGGACAGGACCGGCCCAGATACTACGGTGAGGGGCACTTTGAAAAGACATGATAACTATAGCCAGGTGGGAAACTAGTTTCTGCATGAGAATTTTTGAAATTCCAGACGGGGATGAAAAATCAAAATCTCGGAGGTTTTTCAAGAACAGAAAATAAAATAAAAAAATGGGATCAGGTCAACTGAAGGATATTTTTTTTTACCTTCAATCAAGGTATGTTTCTAAATGAAAAATGGGTTTGAACTGAAAAACAAACTCTTTTTTCCCCCAAAACTTTTTTAAATGTCTTTTTTCGAAATGAGTCCAAACCGAGCCTTTCCCGCAAACAGTTTCAGTTTTGACGAACGGACATGTTCCGATGAAAAAAATATTTTGTTGAAAAAGTCCTGACCAGCTTTAATGATAATTGAATCTTAATTTTATTCTGCATGTGCCTTCCTCAAGAGCAGTTTAGCTCCTAGGACAGGGTGTAGGCTCCCGCCAGATAGAGATCAGGAACAAAAAGGCAACAGAAAATAAATAGGTGATGCAATGAAAATGCAATGGCAAAATAACTCATCAAGAGCTCACGTAATCTTAGAAGCCAGAGGAGGAGACCCAGCAGACCAGCTCTTCCTTCTCCTGCTACTTATTATTAATTATTATTATGATTTGTTTCACCCTAGAGCCTAGGAGCCCAGTTCTGGAGCGGGCCCCCGTTGTGTCAGGCGCTGTACGAACACAGAACAAAAAGCCAGTCCCTGCCCCATATATAATAATAAATAATGGTCATGTCTCCTCCCTGCCACTTAGCCACCATGCGGCCTGGGTGGGGCGACAGCAGGGCTACGGTGCTTGTTTCCCACCCATGGAAGTATCCCAAAGATCGTAACCGACCGCATTTCCATCAGCCCCACAGGGGTGTGAGCTTCCTACCTACCCCGATCTCTGGTGGGACCCAGCCTAGCATGAGCAGTCTCCTTCTCAACAGCCCCCGATCCTCATACCAATCGTCCGGCTTGAATGTCAGAAGACACTTGAGGAGGCAGGTGGCTGGCTGAGATTCTGGCGTGTGTGTGTGTGTGTGTGTGTGTGTGTGTGTGTGTTCCGGTCGCACACATGCTCAGGCTCACTTGCACACACAGAGTCCAGTAGCTCACTCCCACACAGGCGCTCACCCAATCGCTCGCACACGCGCGGAGTCATGCCTGCAGACACACGCCGGTCCGTCGCACGCCCAGAATTCCTCGCACCAGCGCGTCTTCGCTCCCTTTTTGTCCTCCATTTAGTTACGGCAGCTTCAGCAGAGGGGGGCTGGGACAATGTGTACAGTGGGGGGGCTGAGAGCCATTGAACCAAACGGTAAAGCGTGTATATGATGGAACCCACTTCCAGCCCGGGGGTGTGAGCACCCCTAATTCCAGCACCGATGCTCCAGAACGAGCCTCCGGTGAGGATCTAGCAACCTCGCCCAGCCCTCCCTGCGACCCAGCAAAGAGCAACGGCTCCGGAAGCCGCCCTGGGTGCCAGGCACCGCTCTGCCAACTGCCGTGTTGAGAAAGACTTGGGCAGCGAGCAGGAGGCAGAGTGACGTAGCGGGCAGAGCAGGGGCTCTCAACCTTCCCAGACCGCTGGGTCCCTTGCAGGAGTGTGATTGGGCCTGCGTACCCCCGAGGTTCACCTCCCTTAAAAACGACTTGCAAAATCAGACCGAAAAATACAAAAGGGTCACAGCCCCCGGCTGTAACTGAACAATCGCTGACGTTCCCACCTTTACCATGTAATGATCAAACAACTCAATGGGAACGTAACGATTGTCCTTACAGTTCAGTGGCTAGTCTATAGAGCCGTATAAACAAGTCATTGTCTGGATGACATTGTAGTTTGTACTGGCTTCGCTAGTGGTTTTTATGTCGCCTGTTGTAAAACTGGACAAGTATCTAGCTGAGCTGATGTACCCCCTGGAAGACCTCTGCGTACTCCCTGGGGTACACGTGCCCCTGGTTGAGAGCCACTTGGGCAGAGCACTGAACTGGGATTCAGGTGAGCTGGGTTCTCTTCCACAGAGCTACAAGATAACCCTGGGCAAGTCACTTTCTCCTCTTCGTGCCGTAGTTTCCCCTCCCATCCGTTGTCTGTTTTGATTGCAAGCTCTCCAGGGCAGGGATTCATCCCTTATCTCTGTACAGCACCC